AAAACAGTTGTGCTTGCAATCTTTCCATTACCAAAATGGATCTGCTCATCTTTCCCACCCGAGAAGATGATGTGTTGAAGAAGCCAGCTAAAGTAACTGAGCCAGGCCTTAAGGCAGCTCTGGGATAGTTGGGAGGGCCCTGGGCTTATTTTGCCCGAAGCTAAAGACACCGCAGGCACTGGGAATATTTATACATTTCTGAAAGGGACTCTCTTACCTCCAACATCTGGATTCTGCTCGAAAACCTCGAACATTGTTATCTCCGCCAATCAGATATACAAAATTGTGGAGAACAGCTATTCCCTGGTTGGACATTCTTGGAGACAAGGCTGTTGTGAAATGCCTCCATTCTCCCAAAAATGGGTTCAAGTACCGGGCTTGGTTGCTGAGGGCAGTAGACGGGGTTGAATGCATCCCCCCGAAGCCTACCACACAGTGGAACTCAGACCTCAATTGTGTATGCATGTTCTGAAGCACCGGCTGGAGGCACTCGTTCTTATGGTACATTAGGGCATTAGCTACCGTCTCCTTTAATGGACAGGAGCTTAACTTGTTGTGAAGTCTCTGCAGAATTTGGAACTCAATCAGAGGAAAACGGACGGTCTCCAGCAGCTTAGGAGACTCCATCAGTGAAACCTGATCTGTCTCCAGTTGTTCTGGCGTGTAATGGTAAAGGAGGGCCCCTTCGTAGACCTCATTCTCAGAGTTCACCTCCAAGAGGTTACTGTTGAGGAGGGTGAAGACCTTCTCCAGGGGAAGTTGGCGGTACGGCTCTGTCTTTGAGAGGTTAACAAAGTTTTTCAGAAAGTAGGAATCCAGCTTCTCTGTCAGGTAACACAAATCAAAGAGGTCAGCCAGTCTATACATGTCCACAATGTTCTCATCATCCACCCAAAGCATGAGGAAATCACAACAGAACTTGATGATCTCAGAGATCTACAAAGGAGAAAGGCATGAAAGTGGTATCAGAAGGAGCAATTCTGAACCTTCAAAATAATATACCTAATCGTTATAATTTCTCATAAATTCATAGATTGGATCAAAATAAACTTAATCTGTAAGTCTCACTATTGCAAAAATCATCTGTTTAATGGCTTGAGATCAGACTAATGACAAAACTTTATTAGCTATGGAACATCCATGCAAGAAAAGGACAATTAATCCTTTCTCCCAAGAAGCGGCCGTTTCAAGCATCAGGGCCATGCAATAGGGATCAGCAAGAACAGAACAGGATGCAGAGCATCTTGGATCCAATTCAAGAGCAGGTTTCCATGGGGCCAATTCTCTGATATCTATATTAACCCTAAACACATTGCAAGATTATTACCAAAAACTTGGATAAGGAACGTGCCAAATACCCAACACTAAATTTATATGAGAAAACAAATGCCAGTAACCCAGATTCTGAATACTGCTGGGAAGTCAACTAGTCTGAAATATGAAGAAATTACCTTGTTGGATGGCATCTCTTGCTTTTGAAACTAACAATTTTGTGTTATCAGTTGCCAGGCAACTCTGAGTCAGTAACAAGGATTAAGATTATCCAGTATACGGAAAATGTTAATACAATGTAATGAAGAAAAAGAAGCAAGTATACCAGTCATCATTGTACAGCAGGCTCATCTCACTTCCTGGTTTTGCTCTTGGGAAAAGGACAATCTTCCTCAATGGCCATTTGGCAAGTGGGTTGCCATAGGCTGAGAGGGTTATGAGCAGCCCTAAGTCCCCCAGGTGGCTTTGTGCCTGAGGTAGGAGTAGAAACTTGATTTCTAGCCTGACAATTGCTGGCGTTATTTGATTGACAGGATCAGAAGCATGCCCATTCTGTCAGAACATACAGGATGCCATGAAAGGCTGAACACCAGCACCTTGGCTTGCACTTGGCATCCAATGTAGCTCATGCACTAGCAGTGCTGTGGGTGCACACCAAAGTGCACCCATGACTGCCACATTCTCGGCCAGCTGTAGCTTCTGAATGCTCTTTATAGGCAGATTCATGTACAGTGGATTGCAATAGTCCAAATGTGGGTAGCCTTTCATCCCCAAAACAGATACAACTGGTGCACATACTCCACTCCCAGCACCCTGAGTTGGTCCACATATAAAAAATCTCCAGAAGGGATTCATTATTCCTTTCATGACATTCATAGGTATGGTATGGTCAATGACACACCCGGGCACTGGTTAGGGAATCCGGATAGTCTGGTTCCTCTAGGACCCTGTGCCATTATCTAGCACTGTTGGTCCAGTGATGCCTTTTTGAGGGAGAGTTGGACCACTGCTTCTTTAACATCCCTAACCCAAGAATGAAATCAATGCTGCTTGGGTCCTACCATTATCTCCCAGGAGGCCTTGACCAACCATGGGGGAGATGGCTCTCATTAACCGACAGCCACACAATTCTGAGGACCCCGTTCACAGATAACTAAACCAGATTGTGTCTCAATCACCTCAAGAGAACATGCATAACTGGGGCCACGCTTAGACTGGACGCAAGTGATTATTCATCAAGGACTTTGACTAATCCTCCCAGCAGTTCTGCAGATGTTCCTCTCACTCTTTTCTTCCCAGTTCAGATCAGGTCACCTTAACTAGAGCTGTTGGCTAGCACTCAGCAGATGGAATAAGAGTGGAAAAATAATTACATTTTGTTACCTTTATTACTACAACACAACATTAATGTAGACTCTTATATGTGTTAGGCCAGATTCCCTCATCTCTCTTCGTGGTGCTCCAGGTGTCTTTTGTTTCATTTCCTAAAGCTCTTTTGAAAGCCAGCAAACTCTATGAGATCCCTAAACAGGGAGAGGCCCAGAGGTGTCACCTTCTCATTCTAGGTACTGACTAAGGCCTGAGTTTGAATTCTGCAGTAGAGCCTCAGGGAACTCTCTCTGAAACCCAGTGGAGTCTTTCAGGGCCTGGAGAAGGCCGACTGAATGGGATCCCCTCCCTAATGTGCGAAGCCACACCAAAGGGATCCAGAGCAGTCACAGAATGGTCTGACCATGACAAGGGGTCAATATTAACTTTATTTATTTCATCTATTTCTATTGCTGCTCAGTTCAACAAGGGAAGTACATAAATCGTATCCAGAGTAGCCATAAGTGCCTGAGCTGCCAAGGGATGCAAAGTCTCTCAGCACCACAAGACTGGGAAACTCTGCCACCAATGGAGGAAGAGAAGCCACTGTGCCACGGAGAGGCTGCTTTAGTAGCCACAATCTCATCGGGTCCCTGGAGCCCAAGCTCAGAAACAGGATCACAGACCCAGTAAGTTGTGGGGCCTCTGACTACCATACGACAATAATAATTCACTGCTGCCAGGAGTTGCTGCTGATGCCACACCTGAAACCCAGGTAGAAGCATCTTCCAAGAGGGGAGTGTTCATCCCAGTTCATTTAGGCATATCAAGTTGACTCTTTCATCTATGATAAGATCCTGGATGAGAGGCCTTGTTGCAAAATGGTATTTAGAAGCAGCAACTGGAGCTGAGGATCTGTTGACCTGCACCAGGGCTCAACCCAGGGAGCCAGAAAAGGCTCTACCCTGAGAATGGGCCCACCGTATCACCTTCTGCCAGTCAACCTGAGTTCATGCGACTCCCTGCCCCATCCCTCCATGAGCCACTCTTCCTCAGCTCTAGGAGTCTTTCCGACTTCAAGGCATTCTCCTGCCAATCCTTACGGAGCCTCTGCACTGCTTCTGTTTTAGCATCCAGGCCCCTCTGATCCACTTCAGGCCCCAAGAGGTCTAGAGGAGCCCAGCCTTTGACCTACGGACACAGCTTGGGCGTTTTCACCACTGGGCCTCTCTGAAGAAGGGCCAGGATCTCCAGACATAGCACAGCATTTTTACCAGCCCAGGTTCATGCTCAACTGAAAGTACTCTTACGTGCCAAAAGCATGGCATTTCTAATTCTGCCCACAGGCTGAGATCCACTGTGGAGGCCCTGCTTGTTCGCCCTCCTGAAGGGCAGTAAAGGGCGACCTTTGGGAGGCTGGGACACTTTTTTTTTACCATGTGGGAAGGCAGCAAGATCCAAAATGGGAGGGGCTGGAAGGGCCCCTCTTTATGGGCTACAAATAGAGGTAGGGTACCCTGAGGTTCATATAACCAGATTTCACTACGATCCAGTAGATTTGTGGATCTTTTTTATTACTATCATGTAAAGGAATTTCAAAAATTTTAAAGCTATTTTTTATCACACTAGTTCATATGCTAGACAGTTCCCTAACTGTCTTGACTATCTATGGCTCATAGTGCTGTTCTTGGGAAGTGTGCTGTGTTGCAGGCCGACAAAACTCTCTGATCTCTCTTAATCCATGAGGAAGCTGCCCTTCTTCCCCAACACATCTCACATCTTTTAGAGCTGCCAAAGCTCACCTGTAGTTGACAGGATGCAGCTAGAATTTCTTGCACATTGTTTAGGCCAAGTTCCAGGTCCGAAGTATATATGAAGTTCAGGATTTTACACATGGCATTGTAAGATATGCCCTGAATATGAATTTCTTCCTGTTCCATTTCTCTGAGTCCCCCAGCAAACATTCCCCTACAAAAGGAAAGATCTTCTTTCAGTTACTTCTCCCAATGAAAAGTATAATGAACAAAATGCAGTTTTTAAACTCATCCTTGCGCTGCCCTATTTCCAAAGAGGTGGCAAGGCGAGATGTGCTGACAGGAGGACCCAACTCTTATGGTCCAGTCAGGCATGTGTGGGATGATATGTCAGGCTGGGTTCCACAACATCACCTCCTCTACACACAACTAGCTTGCCACGTCTGCAACTTCTCTCTGAGCCATCATCTTTGCTAAGTGATAGCAGAGAGCCCTAGTGAGATCAGGATGACAGAGATACAGCACAAAGGCATGGGATGCATGGCCTTAGTACGTGACAAAGAGAACCTGAACCAGGAACTCAATTCAAAGCCAGGTTGCATTAACAAATGCCCAATGCTCTGATTACAGGAAACAAAAGCTTGGCTCTATTCTGTGCAGGTGAGATTTTCCAGAATCTGGAATCCCATCCCTCGCATTTTAAGGGTGACAGACTGTGATGCATAAGAGAAGAACTGCCAGGATTGCGATGGGAAGAGAAGACCTGGAGACTAAGTCATGGGAGGAAGGGAGCATATTTAGTCTACAGATTAAAAGGTAAAGGTAAAGGTTTCCCCTATCCAGTCATATCCAGCTCTGTGGGGGGGGGGGGGGGGGGTACTCATCTCCATTTCTTGCCTGAGGGAGCCAGCATTATCTGAAGGTATTTCCATGGTCATGTGACCAACATGACTACACAATGAGGTGCATGGGATAAATTCCCATCAAAATAGGATTTATCTACTTGTATTTGCGTGCTTTTGAACTGTTAGATGGGCAGGAACTGGGGCAGGTAACAGGAGCTCACCCCATAGTGCAGCACTCAGGTCTCAAACCCGGGCAGCCAACTTTCCAACTGGCAAGCTCAGCATATTTAATCACTAAGCCCCCATGCTCCCCAAGCTACAGATTACAGGGAAGCATAATTACAGTCCACACAACTGGAAAGGGAGCAAATGCTCTGTTTCCTCCAGGGAATATGCTACAACTAAGTTCAGGAAAGCGCACGGCAATTTTAGATGCCCATTGTGAGAGCTGTTTATGTAAGAGAAAACATGGATTTAGTTGCTTGAAGTTCTTTCTAGGTAAAGCTTCTAATTATCGGCTGAGTATCCCATAATTAGCATCCCATCATGTCAGCATCCTGCACTGAAAAGAGAACGGGTTCCTTCACGCTCCCTTTGACTGATTCCATTGCAGAATTTTGTAAAGGAAGACACAAACACAACCTTGCCAAAGCAATGGACCAAGCAACATCCACGTTTTGCAAATACTCCTTAAACAGGCAGAAACAGCATTATAGGTAAGAAGTGGGAAGATAAATGCTAAATTTGGTTTAATTAAATTTGATTAAATCTAATGATTAGATGAAGCTTTGCTTAATCATTAAGCATATAAAAGTTTCAAACAGCCATGTTTACTTTTCATTTCCAGCAATTTCAGATTTTAGTTTTGTTACAGGCACAGACCTGAAATAATCACAGGATGCAGCCAGGAGGATTCGATGAGCATCAATGGTCTTCCCCTCTACATGCAGAACAACATCAAAGAGGATGCCGCGGTCCCGGAGAGCCCCCAGGCCACTCAGCAGAGTCTGGGAGTGCCCAGCGCTATGGTAGGTCTTGCTGGAGCACTTCTTGGTGAAAGGCTCCAGGGGGATCTTGAGAGGCTCCGTCTCCTCCTGCTGACCCGCCATCCTGGGCAGAACCTCTTGGGAATCAGAGAGCACAGCAACTGGGGTTCCCCGAGGAGCAACTGGTTTCTGTTAGGCCAATTTCCTCATTCAAAACTTTCATTGCCCATTGCCATGAACACAAATTGCAGGTTCTTATCTACAAAGAAAGAGATTAATGGAATCCAACCATTTTGGCACAAAAAGGCGGCCCAATGCAACCCCCCATCAATGAGCTTTGTGGCTCTAAAAAGGCATGGAAGGCTGGTGGCCCTTCTCACAGAAGATGGTTTGTCTACCACTTGGATAGTCTTTGGCTCACCCCGTCCTGCCTCAGAGGCAGCCTAAACTTATCTTTAGCTGTTCTGGTGTTATTTCCCCCCTTCCACTGACACAAGTCTTCTTCTACAACCAAGGACACCTCACTGATGATGGAGTCCAGGGATGACATTAGGCTGCTTTCATCTTCAGTCCATGGACCCTGCCACCTGCCCCCAGCCATTTTGGCCTGGTCAAAGGAGAAGACAGAGACCTGATCAATATTCTGTAACAGCCTGTCATGCTCCCGATGGAGTCTGAATCAGTAGAGGAAGATGAGCTGGAACAAGAACTGACAGCGATTGAGAGGGCGGCTCCGTTGGCCTTGGAGGAAACTGGGGAAGGGCAGAGTCAGTCCAGGCAAGGCTTTTCGGAATTAGTAAGGCCTGCAGGCAGAGAGGAACAGAGGCAGGATGAACATGAGACAGACGAGGAGCAAGGAGCACCCCTTCCTGATCCAAGAGCTCGGAGAGTGCAGAGAAGGCATAATCAGCAAAGACTGAGCAGGCTACTTGGGAGGAGAGTGCCCCGCCTAACTTCACCCAGGCACACCTGGGGAACGAGACTTAAGGAGGTGCTGTGGGGAGGGGCATTTGTTGGGAACAAACGCTGAGTTCCTGAAGTGTTGCGTGCCAACGTTTGAACTTGCCAAGAGTCCTTGCATTCCTTTTGGCGTTCTGGACTAATTACTTAAGATCTTTTGCTCCCTGAATTCCTTGATTTGCCAAACACATTTGGATTTATTGCCGTGCAGCCTTAGTGCAGACAGCACTGGGCTGGACTAATTGCAGCCAGAGGCTGCTTGAGGTTTTTGTGGGGGTTTGTTATCACTCTGCTCTAGGACTTGCCAGAAACGTGGGAGCATTTGGGGAGCAATTAAGGGGCGGTATGAACTTCCAGCTTTTATGTTATTTCTGTGCCGTGCCCTGGGTGTTTACACAGCCATTTAGGTGTTGCTCTCTTCTGGAAGAGCACCAAGCTATTTTAAATAGTTTTTAGATGGATTATCTGGATCCTTTTTAGTCAGGTTTTAGGTCTGGATATGGTTCCAAAATGGCATTGACACTCATGGATGATCTCTGGCAAGAGCAGGATCGATATAGTACATCCATCCTCTCTTCTTGATTTCTCAATGGCTTTCAATACCATGAACTATGGGGGCCTTAGGGAGTTCACGGTGGGATGCATAGTTCTGCACTGATTCACCCCTTTCCTCTGAGGTCAATCCCAATCAGTGTTGATAGGGAGGGAGAGGTCCAGCTCTCAGCCTCTGTCTTATGGGGTGCCACAGGGCTCCCTCTACTCCTTTTTAACATCTACATGAAACCACCTGATACCTGATTATATACCGTATCTCTATCCAAGGTGAAGTGAGTGGATGCCCTTTTGTAGTGCCTGGAGGCTGTGAGGGCCTGGATGGAGAACAATCGACTTCAGCTAAGGAGTTCTGCATCCAGGAGTTTATGATGGGGTTGCACTACCCCATATAGATCTGGTGCGTAACCTGTGGGTCATCCTGGACTGACAGTTCCTGCTCAAAAATCTGGTGGCAGCTGTGGCCAAGAGACCTTTGCTCAGCTTCGTGTGGTGTGCTAAATATACCCTCCTTTCCTGGATAGGGAGGGCCTCTGCTCGATCACTCATGTCCTGGTCATCTCCCGCTTAGACTATTGCAATATGCTCTACATGCGGCTACCCCATGTGGTACAAAATATGGCCATGCAGCCATTGTTAGGGATCCAAAGAAGGGTACATAATATAACACCTATGCTCAGTGAGCTGCATTGGATGCCAGTTTGCTTCCAGGTCCAATTCAAGGTATTGGTTGTGACTCACAAAGCCCTATATGGCGTGGGCCTAGGCTAATTATGAAACTGCCTTCGTCTGGTCAGGCAGATATGTTGCAGACCCTGTCAGTTAAAGAACTTCCACTGGCACAGTCTAGGAAGAGGACCATTCTCTGCTGTTGCTCCCATCCTGTGGAATATTCTTACCCTGGCGGTAAGGCGGTAACCCAACTCTCTTGGTTTTCCAAAAAGGAGTGAAGACGTGGCTCTGTGGCCTTGCAGTGGGAGCCCTGGGGAGTACTCACCCGTGGGGCTGGTTAATCCTTCCCTTAACCTTTCAACTAATTTTAATCTCTTGCCTCCTCTTAATTTTTTTAAACTTTTATATACGCTGTTTTATGCTTTGTTTTATTGTACACTGTCCAAAGTCCCTCTTTGAAGGAGATGGGCAGTTCAGAAATGTAATAAACAAATATGGTTTATGATCTTCTGAGATACAACTACTCCTTTCTTACCAAAAAGCTTTGGTAGCTGTTTCTTCCTGGCTCTGTCCCAAACATTTCCTGCTGGGAAATAGGTAGGAATAATATTTTAGAAATTGTAGAGAAATGCTGTTGATGTCAAGAGCTGGATAATGATATAAATGTTTGGGTTTAAAAATGATGAAAAGGAAGGGTAAAAATGAAGCTGTTGAACAATTGTAAGGCTGTAAATTTATATGATGTATATTGAGAGATGTTAAACCATGATAAAGTCAATAGATGTGAATTCAGAAAGTTTTAAAAGAATGTGGAGTTTAAGATGTGTTGCTGAATGTAATTAAGAGTGGCATTTGATGGAAATAAAATTTATGTAGACAAGATGCCTGGTAATCTTTAGCACCCAGACAATCAGGTTCGCCTGATACCCCAGTTGCGCCCCTTTCTGGATCGGGACTTCTTGTGCACAGTCACTCATGCCTTGGTCACGTCACGCCTGGACTACTGCAACGCTCTCTACACGGGGCTCCCCCTGAGGAGCACCCGGAGGCTCCAGCTGGTGCAGAATGCGGCCGCGCGGGTGATTGTGGGAGCGACGTGGCGCTCCCATGTAACACCTCTCCTGCGTGAGATGCATTGGCTCCCGGTGGTCTTCCGGGTGCGCTTTAAGGTGTTGGTTCTCATCTTTAAAGCGCTCCATGGCTTAGGGCCAGGATATTTGCGAGACCGCCTGCTGCTACCCATAACCTCCCACCAGCCAATACAGTCTCACAGAGAGGGCCTCCTCAGGGTGCCGTAGGTCAGGCAATGTCGGCCGGCGGCCCCCAGGGGGAGAGCCTTCTCTGTGGGGGCACCCACCCTGTGGAACGAGCTGCCTCCTGGAATACGACTGATCCCGGACCTCCGGACCTTCCGTAAAGCCCTGAAGACGTTTTTATTCCACCAAGCCGGCCTAGCCTAAATGGTTTTTAATTGGGATTTTAAATTTTATGGATTTGGGGGTTATAAATTGGGAAGCTAATAATTTAATTCTTTTTTAATTATCTTAATTTTTGTATTTGTATGTTTTTTAGTTTTGGCTGTTCACCGCCCTGAGTCCCTTCTGGGAGAAGGGCCGTATACAAATTAAATAAATTAAATAAACAAAATAAAACCTGGTTTAGGATCTTCTGAGATAGAACTACTCCCGTTTTAGCAAAACAAACATTTTGAGGCAGCTTCGGTCGCCGTTCCTGCCTGGCTCCGTCCCAAACATTCCCTGCTGCATCTACAGAGGAAGCTTTGCGTGGCTGGACTGTGGTTTTGCCCCCCCTCCCCAACACCATTGGGGGCTTTCTTTCCTTGGGCTATTCCCGGGCGCCTCCTCCCCCGGGGAGCAGCGGGGAAGCCCTCCCGACCTCAGCCCAGGGGGGAGCCGGCAGGAGAGGCCAAGAGCCCCCGAGGGGTCCTGCACCCAGCTGCACAAAAGGGCCCGGTGTGAGGGGGGGTCGCCCGAAACCCTCCTCCGGCTCCCGACCTCTCGGCGGGGCTTCCCGGGCACTTGGGACCCGCGCTCGGCCGGGAGCAGCTCCCTGGAAGGAAGGAAGGAAGGGGCTCCCACGGGGGCTCTGCCGGCTCCTTCCAGCCCCCCGCCCCCGCCGCGCCTCTCCGGCCCCACCGGCGGGCCAGCCTCGGCCACGCCCGCCTTCCCCCGCCGCCCCTACCTGGCCGGAGACGGCGCTCCGCGGACACGCCCAGCGCCGCCACAGACTCCGCCCGCCACCCGCGCAGTCGGCCGGGGCGGAAGCAGGAAGTGCGGCTGCGGAACTCCACTTCCCGGCGTGCCGCGCGACCCCCGCCCGCTCGCCCACTTCCGGCGGCCCTGCGGAGGCGCTCTGGCTCGGGCGCCCGTGGCGGCGGCGGCGGCGGCGGCGGGATGGAGGAGAGCGAGTGGCGCAGCGCCAACTTCCGGCAGAAGCTGGTCAGCCAGATGTGAGTGGCGGGTCCGCGGGGGGCCTGGGCCTGGCCTGCGGAGCTGCTCGGGGATCCCCGCGTGGCCGACCTCTGGGCCGAGGGAAGGGCGGCCTGGGGCGGACTCGGGGCGCGGAGGAGGCGGCTGACCGGCCTGAGGGCGAAGCTGGGCAAGAGCCCCGCGGGAGGCCGCCCGCCACGCAGCTGCCTGCCGGGCCCCGGTGGGAGGGTGGGAGGCAGCGCAGAGCCCCCGCCGCCCTCGGATGAGGGAGTCCGGCAGGGAGGGCCGCCCCCTCTTCCCCCTGCGCCTTACCTGCAGGGAGGGGCCGGCCAGGTGGGCAGTGGCGGCAGGCGAGGGTTGGCCCGTCTTGCAGGCAGGCTTGTCAGGATACCTGAACGGGGCGCCCGCCTGCCCCTCCCTCAGATTCAGGTTACGACCTGTTGCGGATTCTTGCTCGGAAATAAATGTTTTTAGGACAGGCGCAGAATCTCTCTTGATCTCATGGTAACCCAAAGATTTTTTCCTACTTCCGTACAAACCCTGGGGATCTGTAAACTGTAAATTATTAGTTTACAATTTAGTCAAATTAAAATTCCCTAGCCATTTGTTCCTAAGATATACCTAAAGCTTTTGATTCCCTGAGAATACTATTTGTAAAACTAACATTAAATTTAATTTTGGGACCCGTTTTCTTAAGATGATTGAAGATATTTATAGCCAAACTCAGATATGATTAAGCAGCTATGATTCATATCCCTTTACTATTTTTAAGCGGCACCAAGCAGATGCCTCTTTTATAGCCTTTATTATTTAACCTAGCCATAGAAGCATTGTAATAGCACTCCAATCCAATAATCAGAGTTGTGGGGTGAAAGTGAGAGATAAAACGTATGTATCTTTTAAATTTATTTGCAGATTATATGATTTTGACTCCCAAATGCTTCTTAGTCAGCTGGCTATCCTAAGAAGGAGTTAGACGTGTCAGGACTCCAGTTAATTTTTATAAATCACATCTGGTATTTTTCACATTCCACTCAAAATACAAAAAGGGCTACTCTGGGTGGCTTACAACAATAAAACAGAAAAAAAAATGTTTAAATGATTTTTAAAAAAATTCCCCTTGGAAGCTGGTGCAGCACATTTGTGCTACATCTTTGGCAGTGCGGTAGAAGTGGGTATTTTATGCTTCAGTTGCTGGGACCCCATTCTAACTGAGAGTTCACTGAATCTTGTCAGAATTGACAGAATATTTTCTCTTGTAGTAGCAAACAACAGTGGCAGTAATCAAAGTGATTCCAGCCTTCAATGTTTATGGTTTTTCCCCCTTCTGTTGCACCACCTCTCAGACTGCTTGGATTAATCCTTGCAGTTTTCTTGGCAAGGTTTTTCAGAAGTGGTTTGCCATTGCCTCCTTCGTAGGGCTGAGAGAAAGTGACTGGCCCAGGCAGGACTAGAACTCACCATCTCTCCGTTTCTAGTCTGATGCCTTCACTATGACACCAAAGCAAATATCAATATTTATGTCAGGGCATTCTGTAAATGTGCTCAATTTCAATTAAATCGGCTAGCAATGTAAAGTGATGTCTAAAACTTTCTGATTTACTCTTCCCAAAGAGCAGGAATAGCTTCAATACCGGTGACATGCAGATAGAAAGCTAAGACAGTTATTCAAGACTTTGTCATTAGCAAACATTTTCTGCGTTTATAATTGTTCCTCCAACTTTATCTTTCTTTGCACTTAATGCCTGGAGATGGATTACTGGATTAGATTTTAGTTGGCATGGCAGCCCCCATTCCTTTCCTGTCTTGGTTTTGTGAGTGATTGGGGGATGCAGCTAATGAAGCATATTTCTTGTTTCTGGTTGATATTCTCAGAGCCAAATGATCAGTTGCAGCAACAACTTTACAATGGAAATACCTTTAATTCCCCAGATTAAAGAAATCTCCCTTCAATGCACAATTTCATGTGGTTTTAAGGAGAAATTGTGGGGGGGAGACAATTACTGACACCACCATCACAAATTAGACGAGGGTCTAAGTGTATTGATTGTTCTTCAAGTAGACAGTCCTGAAGGTACCTCAGCCAGGTAGGAGCATAGGTAAAACTAGCACTTTAAAACTACACCTACAAACCTGTTGGCAACTGATGTGGGCCGTGTAGCACAGTGCTTGAGGAGCCCAGTGACAAAAGCACATGTCTTGCACCAGCTTCAGTTTCCAGTGGTCAGTAAAGGCAGCCCCATTCAGAGCACATTGGAGTAACTGAGCAACAATGAAAATGCGAGTTCCTATTGCAGCGCTCACTCGCTCCAGGTCAGGTTGCAACTGGAGCTTCTAAAGGTCCTGGCCATGACCTACTTGTCTGTCCAGGGCAGCCATGGCTCCATAGGATTCCAACAACGTGGACAGACTCTCTTTCAGGCATGATGCTGACCATTTTAGAAACAAGGTTGGACAACCCAGGGATCTCTGTTATCCTCCCAATACAACCACCAGAGTTCCTATTTCCTGTATTGAATGCAGGGTGGATAAAAATCAATGATTTTTTAAAAAAAATCAAAACAGATTTTTTTTATTTAAATCGGATTTTTTTAATTTAAATCGGATTTTTTTGATTTGTATCGAATTTATTTTAATAAAAAACTTTTGGGGTAAAAATCTATCATAAGATAATTTTCTATTTAAGATACATAATTTAGTTTATTCAGCATGAAATGGAGCTTAGTTATGTAGCATGAGGCTGTATATTCTGCAACACTGGGACTATCGGTGAGTCGACAGTGGGTCAAAGGAGTAGCAGAGATGACAGTTGCTCTTTAAAAATTATGATTTAAATCGAGTTGATTTAAATCAAGCCTTTTTACTAGTGATTTAAATCATGATTTAAATTGTGATTTAAATCAACTCGATTTAAATCAAATCCACCCTGATTGAATGGCTCCAAAATGTTGGAAAGCAGGTGGATTAAAGAGTAACATGTATTCCTTACTTATTTAAGACACCAGTTTTGATCCTTAAGTCTTACCTAAAATGTCATTCCTGCCAATTCCATGAAGAAGCTAAAAGGTTCCTACCCCTGTTCTGGACTGGCACATTTTTGAGGCATCTTGGAGTCAGCCAAGGTGTAAAAAAGGTGTAGAAGCAGGATGGCATGATGTTGCAGGGGGCAGGATCCTTGAGAGGAGTGCCTGCTAATTGTAGGGAAACCTACAGCAGTTCCTGTCTGGTTAATCTATCTGGATCCGCTCCAGTCCGGCTTCAGGCCTGGGCACAGCACGGAAACGGCATCCACGTTGCTGGATGATCTCTGGAGGGCTCGGGATAGGGGTTGTTCCTCTATCCTGGTCCTGTTAGATCTCTCAGCGGCTTTTGATACCATCGACCATGGTATGCGCCGGTTGGAGGGGTTGGGAGTGGGGGGCACTGTCTTGCGGTGGTTCTCCTTCCTCTCCGACCGGATGCAGTCGGTGTTGGCAGGGGGCAGAGGTCGACCCTGAGGCGCCTTGTTTGTGGGGTGCTGCAGGGGTCGGTCCTCTCGCCCCTTCTGTTCAACATTTATGTGAAGCTGCTGGGTGAGATCATCCGTGGCTTTGGGATGGAGTTCCATCAGTAAGCTGACGATACTCAGCTGTACATCTCCACCCCAGGCCATCCCAACGATGCCCTTGAAGTAATGTCCCGGTGCCTGGAGGCCGTGCGGATCTGGATGGGGAGTAACAGGCTTCGACTCAACCCCTCCAAGACCGAGTCGCTGTGGCTTCCGGTGTCCCGATATAGCCAGCTGGTGCCATCGCTGGCTATTGGAGGCGAGTTACTGGCCCCCACGGAGAGGGCTCACAACTTGGGCATCCTCCTGGATGCACGGCTGTCTTTAGAAGAGCATGTGACGGCCGTGACCAGGGGGGCTTTTCATCAGGTTCGCCTGATTCACCAGTTGCGTCCCTTTCTGGATCGGAACTCCTTACGCACAGTCACTCAGGCACTCGTCACTTCCCGCCTGGACTACTGCAGTGCTCTCTACATGGGGCTCCCCTTGAGGAGCACCCGGAGGCTCCAACTGGTGCAGAATGAGCCCGTGCGGGGGATTATGGGAGCGAGGGGACGCTCCCATGTGACGCCTCTCCTGCGTGAGCTGCATTGGCTTCCAGTGGTCTTCCGGGTGCGCTTCAAGGTGTTGGTTACCACCTTTAAAGCGCTCCATGGCATAGGGCCTGGGTATTTGCGGGACCGCCTTCTGCCGCCGATAGCCTCCCACCGGCCAGTACGCTCCCACAGAGAGGGACTCCTTAGGGTGCCGTCAGCCAGGCAATGTCGGCTGGCGACCCCAGGGGGAGGGCCTTCTCTGTGGCAGCACCTGCCCTCTGGAACGATTTGCCCCCGGAGATACGCATGATACCAGATCTCCGGGCTTTTCGCCATGCCCTAAAAATCTTTCTTTTCCACCAAGCAGGGCTGACGTAACAACCCCCCCCCCTTAAGATGTTAGATTTTTAATCGTTTATGGGTTTTAGTCGGGATGTTTTAAATTTGGGCCAAAGTTGTGTAATTCTTTTAACAAATTTTAACTTTTGTATGGGATGTTTTTTATTTTGGCTGGAAAGGGCGGTATACAAATTTAATAAAATAAATAAATAAATAATCAGGGCTGGCTATTGCCTGTTTTCTGGGAAGAGTTGGAGTCTGTAACTCTTGATGAACAGATTCATGTGACTGTAAACATGGCCAAATATATGTTAGATCCTGACTAGGTTAAGGCCTCTTGGGAAGTAGGATATGGTGGGGTCCAGCTGGTGGTAAATTGTTTTTAAGTAAGGGGATAATCCCTTGATGGATAAATGCAGCTTTAAAATGTATCAGGAGCCAACAGTATTAATATCCACCCAGTCTCCAGCCTCCCCTTTTGGGGGAAAAGTTGTTGAGATATTAAGCATTCACATTGGCCCTGGAAGAAGTGGATTAGCTGCCTTTTTTTCCAGTCCAGTTTCAATCCTGGTTGTAACATGGAGATGTTTGTAGCATG